TACACAATATGTGTGTGTTAAATACAGTTTTGTACTGATATATATATGTGGATTGTTCAATTCACAATCATTCCGACCCGATAGTTACCACCGGTATGCTTCGTGGGAAAACCTGTGCGTGTATACTTTACGAGTATACTTTTCAAAATATATTCCCTTCCCATGGAATTAATGTAGCGAATTCAATTGACACTCGTAGCAAATACAGTATATCGTATCGAAATCTATTGACATTACGCATGAATCCTTCATATTCACTCTGCAGCCATACTCTCATACAGAGATGTGTGTGTATTGCGCGTGTTCTCCAACGGCTGTGTATGATCTATACACACTGCGCTGCCTACAAATAGCAACCAAATACATTTTAATCCCATCAAAACGATACCAATGTAGTGTTTTTATCCCACTAATTACACGGATAAAACATGCTTTGTCGTAGAAAGTGGCTTACTAGTAAACCCTCTGCGTAGCACGGGTTAATCATGACAAGGCATACATAGAGCCAACACCCTAAAGCCCTAAAACCCAGAAACTTTAAAACCATAGAACAAAACAGAACCATCACTGGGAGTGTTGGCAGAACTCGTATGCACACATACATTCGACGCACAGATGTCCGTATGTCCACATCAAATGTCCACAGACCAATGAACACTCACACAGCGTTTGCTAGTCTCAGCAGCACCCATCTACCACACACACACTCTCACAGACGGCATACGCTGGTACAGTACAACAATACGAGACCCACCTGAGGGAGAAATGGCAAAGCATTTCATTACGGAGTTGAGCGTTGCTATGGTAGCGGTGGCGGTCAAGGCCAGGATATTGGTGACGCCCAGAGTCTCGCACAGCACTAGGCCAAGGCGCAGATAGGCAGGCCTGTGTGTGTTGCGGATGTATATACAATTGTGTCTCAGATATGTACCAGAGTAAGGGTGGTGGGACTCAGCTAGAGATGGAGGTAAGCGTTTTAATCGACACAGGTAGCGGTAATTTGAGATGGAAAGGTGAGATATGTTTGTGACGGCTAAGGATACTCGCTCGAGGCGTGAAGCAGAGCCTGTTAAATATGACAAACCGTAGAAGCAAATAAATTCTGTGGTAATACGAACTCATTGAAGGATAGTTTTTTCCCAAATATGTTGTGAAATATAGGCAGAAGTACAGCCTTAAACCAGAGAACGTAACATTTGATATCTTTTTACCCTAAGGCCTGTCATCCTACCATATTTAGTAGTCCAGCGGGAGGACGTATTGTGTGTGTGTGCCGTGGACGTACATGGCATCTGCGCGTGGAAACATAATACAAAACAGGCGTACATGTTGTAGAGAGCCAGAAGTAGTTGAAAACGCCAATGACAACACTTTTCAGGTGTGTCACGAACGTCGAATGTCATTGAAACATACACTTCTACAAGGCATATACAAGTACAAATGTACGTATATTGTCGTATATTATATCTCAATAAGGGTTTAGGCTTTCCATATGCTTAATATGTAAACAATTCTACAAGCCATACATAAGTACCAATGTACACATATTGTTGCACACACAAATAAAAAAGAAGAGTCACTCCTCTCATACTCTGTACCTGAAATTATGAGACCATTCCGAGACGCAATGGGCTTCGTCAACGCACACAAACCCGATCTTCGGGAACGGCGCGCACTCGACCCGTTGGCCCTTCACCCATTCCTTGCCATGCACCAGATCAGCAAAGTTCTTGGTCACCACCAACTCTGGGGACACGTATAGCACCTTGTAGACACCTGGTGCGAAATTACGACGTATCAGAGCGGGTTTGCGATGTGGGAAAGTGAGTTTGCGACGTGGGAAAAAGAATTTGCAACGTCCGTGTTTACGACTTGTGCATGGTGTGTAGTTTATTGATGCTTTGCCACCACAGTGTATCAGTGACAGTGCCACGTGCGCATACAAATGCGCGACGCTTCAGACGAGTTCGTGTCAGAACGAGATTGAGTTTGTAACATGCGTAGGACTATTGTTAAACTTCTGCCAGACATATACACACAACTGTACACCTATGGCAAAAAAAAAAGGTATCTGCAAATCTCAGATGTGGCACTAAAAGGCGCGCCTGAAAATCCAAGATGCGTATCCACCAGAACAGGGTTGAGTTTCTATGTGCGTATCACAAATGTATTTTCGGATTGGTAGGTAAGACTATCGCATACGCCCATAGCTATAGTTCTAATCACCTCTTCCACTCGTGCACATTGGATTACTATTACTGGTATACATGTTCATACACTCACTCGCCCTAAAATAACAATTCTTGTGTCGTGTGTGCGCTGTCCTACCTTTGCGTATGTCCGCGATAATTTTTTTCTTCGTCTTCTGCGTCTGTGTGCTGTTGAGGCACGCTCCAGGAATTCTAAGAAGTTGAGAAGGTTGTGTGCTCATTCGTGAGTTTGCAATTGTACTTGTATCCATATATATATATATATATATAAATGTGTGTGTGTACGTATA